ACACCTTTCCCTTGTGTAATTCTTAACCCTAGATTCAGTGAATTTTGGGCTGTGAATGACCCAAGGAGGGCATGAAAGGGTTAAGATGCTGTACTACATAGTCTGTACAAAGGGAAAAGAATCTCTGTATTAAAAGGCAAGAATGTACAGTAAGGACAAGAATGATAGGGATGAGGGAGGGATTGAGGGGGAGAAAGGAAACGGGAAAAAAAAAATGAAGAGAGATCTGGATTTTTTGCTATGAATAATAGCCCATTCATCAGCTCTAATTTGTTAGGCTAATGTTCTCACTGAGCTTAATGAGGAGATTAGCTGGCAAATTAGCACTGATAAACGAGCAAACATGAAGCGTGGTGGTCAATCTCAGACTCGGCTATGTATTCCTATCATATCACATGAATGAGGAGCATCTGTTATAAATGCAGTTCTAGTTTGAGTCTGCAATTAATTACACCCTAGAACAAAGTGACTTGCATTAAACAAAATGGTATCTATAGTTAAAGATATAAATGTTAACAAAAACATCAATACGAAAGCTGTAAACAATTCCAATGCTTCCTAGTGTGTTATCCACTCTATGAGAACAGCCTTTCCGTTAATTTGTTTAAAAAATATTATTCTAAGTGCTTTTTTGGAGAACCTTTGCATATTGGAATCTCACTCTTCAATAAATGACAACAGGTTGTAGTAAAGTGTGAGATAGTCCATCTATGGTGGAAAGGGTTAAGACTGTTTGTATTCCCTGAGGAATCAATGTACCCTAAGACCGAGGGGAATTTGGAAGTTCATTAATTCCATCATTAATAAGTAACACATTCATGAAAGTTACATGTGTTCGGATCAGGATCTTCTCTGGAGTGATCTGACAACGAGTGCTATAGTTAAGTAATATCAGCTTTCCAAGTCACAACATTACCAGCAGCCAGTAGATTGCAAGCGTCAGTATCACAGTGCTCCATTATATCCTCCTGAGACCCGGCCCATTCATTTATGTCCATTATAGTGGACATTTTGTCCACCTGTACCCTCCCTAAGTATCTGGAGTTACCCTATCAAGCCCTATAGTTTTCTGTAGAGGACATCCTGGGCTTTCCAGTGATGTGCCATGTGATAGGTTTGCATGCTGGGAACTTGACTTTTTTCCTAAGAGTTCTTAGGTAAATATCCCTTTCAAGACATCTTCTTTTTTATTATTTAATTATCTAAAGCCTGTTCTATTTCCCCATGCAAATCGTCCTGTTTTCCTACACATTGGACATGCTATGAAATTAAAATTAATTTTTTTTTTTTTTAAATTGAAATTGTAATGTTCTTTTTTAGGTCCAAATACATGGAAAATCACAACAAAAAAGAAATTTGAAGACACTTTTTTTCTCTGGGATATATCATCCTCATAATTCTATGCCAGAAAAGTCATGTATCACAATGGCAACAAAAATCCAAGTGACTGCTACTGGTACATTGCTTCAAGAACTTTGAGAGATTCAGCCCATGATTCCTTTTGTTTGTTTTTTGTTTTTTGTAAAGGTTCGTCACACTGTATCCATCTATGAGTATGGAACATGCCCAGAATAAAAAATGGAAGCCTTATTTCCTCAAGGACATCTCCCGTTCCTATACCCGTCACAAACTAAACTCACACACATCATTGGACAGGTTTGGCGGGAAATCTTGTGCACAGATTGGTTGAACATTAGGCACTCATCCATTGGTTTATTTCTTGGATCTGCTGCTTGATTCTTTTTTTTTTTTTTTTCCCAACACACCCTTAAGCCAAAAACACAAGAAAACAGTGGGCTGATTTCTTGCCCACTCTGTTGGAACTCAAACTTTTCCAAAAAACGCAAAGGCCATTACTGTCATTGTGGGTAAGCTGTATGTTTACAAAAAAGAATTTGTAGTTTTGATGGTTCTTCGCTGGTTCAGTGGGTAAATGTGACAGCCATTCAATAGCTGAACTGCGGCTGAAAGGAGAAGAACAGAGTTCCGCTTGATCTGGCACAAATAAGTTTATTCCATGTTAGAAAATGGCAGAAACCTCTTTTATTTTCCCGGGCCATGTGTTTGTGATTGAAATGTGAGCATCTAAATATTGAGCATTTACAGAAAATAACAATAATATATATATTTTTCACTACACTGTTCATGTGATGTAGTATTATATTAAAGATATTAAATCCTTAAATTGCACAATAAAAGAAATCATGAAGGGTTTCAGTTTTTACTTTTTTTCCCCATTGTAACCGTATGAAAAATGCAGTTACAGAATGTCCAACTGTGTGAAACATTGGCATAACAGTGGATGAATTGTAGGTCATTTAACACTGTGTGATCTTAGCCATCAAATGAAGTAAGTTCACTGCTAGCAATGATGTGTGACAGGAATCTGATGAAGTTGCCTCAAATATTATGTTTGATACGTGGGGACTGTTTAATGATGATCTGTGCTGAATCATAATGGAAAGAGCAGCACTGATTCTAAGGGTGAAGTGACTTTTACAAGCTGATGGACTGAAAAATCTCTTCACTTTTTATTAAAGTCTGAATGAAATCTTTTGCTGCTTTGCAACTCACCCAGATCACGTTTTCTCCACAGTTATTTTATGGTAGTCATATTTCATTTGGGAATCACACCTTGTGTACCAGATTTAAAACAGTGAAGTTTTTTATTTGTCCACATGTTTTAGAATTTAAGTTTCAGAATTTTAAGGTTATTGTTTGACGCTGCATATTAATAATAATCACAGGATGGGACAGAACAACTTTGTAGTTCTTGACAGATTTTTCTCACTAATTATTAATATGTGGACCTTGATATGAACATTGATTCCAAATCTACTATATGTGGGAAAAAGAAAAGCAATAAAACTAATGAAGTGCTTGTTTTGGTACAAGATTTGAATAAAATGAGACATATGTACAGCAACAACATAACTTTACCATTCGTGTTTTTGGCAGCCGAGTTCTAATTTTCAGTTTTTAGCTAAATACATAAGCTAAACCTTGAAAAATGATTTCATAGTTAGTTGTTGTATTTAATTCCAACTTAGCTGGAGAGACGATAAGAAACTTTTGGGGGGGGCAGACTTTTTTATATTTTCAGATTAACTAAATCCATGACTGTCCTGTTAAACATTTCAACATTTGATCTGATCTTTGATTTGAACGGTGACTTGTACAATAAGAACATCTGTTGCTTATTTTGAGCGCATCCTGGAATTATATATTTTATGTTTCATGGGTCTTGGGCCAAGAAAATAAGAACTTTGCCTGAAAAAAAAGGCTTAGTTTCAGTAGAGGGCTTTTCTCTATTAGTATAAATATCAGCCATTTCTTTACCATCTTGTCATGAGAAAAACAACCCTATTTTCAAAGTTCTATTTGTAACTCCAGGGGTAACTTAGAGGTACACATTCAAGCACAGAAAATATACATAGACACACAAAAATAAGTTTGGCTTAAAAGGAGCGACTGTAAGCAACTGGTGCATCCTCAGCTCATAGGAATGCAGGTGCTGTTCAGAGGAGCCCGGTTTCTAAATAGGGCTCTTCTATCCAGCAACAGAAAGTGATGCGAACAATAACGGGCCGCGCATTTGCATTTCAAGTATCCCTAAATTGGCATTAACGGACCCCGACTCAAAGATCAATAGAAGAACACAAAGGAAAGACGAACAAAATCAAAAACAAGAAGTGCTTGGAGTCAAAATCAGGAAACGATGAGGAATCTATGAGCGAAGACAATGAATGAATGTGTGAGAACACAAATAAACATCTTCATGCAAAGAAGATCACTGCCGTTTCATAAACTGACATAAATGTGTTCCAAAATTATTTCAAATGCTTACACACCCTGAAATTAATTCATTGTAAATTCTGCAGCAGCAACAAACCGCACAAGAAAAACTGACAAAATGATGTGTCACTTTTTCCTTTCTTACTCTGCTCCTTCCACTTTTCTCCTCATTTCATCTTCTCCTCTTCTGTGTTTACCTCCGTCTATTTTCCCTTGCCCTCACACAAATCCACAACCCCGAAATGCACAAACAGCCTCGCTATCTCGAGGCTGATGGCTGTCACCTTTGTGTACTCAGCCTCTTTCAGAAGCCAGCAATGCAAATAACACCCTCATGAATATTCAGGTCCGATTTGAGATGGAACGAGAGAGACTGAGGGAGTAAAAGCAGTGGGGGGGGGGAGAGACAGGGAAACTGAAGGGATACAGTGAGTAGAAACTAAAGGAGGACGGCTTGAGACAGCACGATAGCACGGGGTGGATTATGGGGATAAACACATACTGAGTGATGCCCGGTTAAATAGAAAAGGAGAGTAGGTGTCGTTTTCAGGGTTGAAAGTACCAGCCAGGACAAAAAACACACAGGATGAAAGCACTGATATGTAGTATTTGGTTAATTGTGTTGGATACATTAAAACAATGAGAAAAAAAAGTGAAATTTTTTATGTGGTGGTATGCAATGAATGATAGTCAAGGTAATTTTAAGAATCCCTATTTATCTGTGATTAAAAATACAACTTATGGAAAGGTTGAAATTACATATAGTGCAACAATACAACTTTCAATGTTTACCTGACACTAAAAA